GGGGACAGGCGTTGCTGGGGGGTGCCCACGGGCCCAGCTCGGGAGGGATGGGTGGTACCGGGGGGTGCCCACGGGCCCATCTTGGGGGGGAGGGGTGGATCCGGGGGGCTCTGGGGGAGACGGGCGGTACCGGAGGGTGCCCACGGGCCCGGCTCGTGGGGGACGGGCGGTGCCGGGGGCTCTGGCGGGGGACGGGCGGTGCCAGGAGGTGCCCGCGGGCCCCGTGTGCCATCTCGGGTCAGCTGGGTGCTTTCTCTCCGGCGCAGTGAAAGTTGCCCGCGCCCCGACCTGACCCTGGAGTTCCCCTGAAAATTCCCCGCCCGCCGGGGGGGTCGGGCCAGCAGCACCCCGGCAGCGCCGGGGGGGGCAGGGAGGTGGGTCTGGGGGGGCGGGCGGAGGGTTTGGCATCACGTCGGGAGGAGGCCGGCGCCCATATAACCGGGGGGACGGCGGGGGGGGCCCCACAAGCGTCTGAGGAGCCCGGGAGCTCTGAGCCAGCGGCCATGGGGCCCCCCAGTGGGGTGGGGCCGCTGGAGCCCCCCAAGGTGAGAGGGGGGCTGGGGAGGGGTGAGGAGAGGGGTCGGGGGGTCAGGCTGGGACGCACAGTCAGACAGCGCTGCAGGGTCCCACACAGAGACTTATACAACGCTGCACACACAGTGCTACACAACCACACTGACACACACACACAGCGCTACACAACCATACTGACCCACATAGCGCTACACAATCACACTGACACACATACACACAGCGCTACACAACCACACTGACACACACGCACACAGCGCTACACAACCACACTGACACACGTACACACAGTGCTACACAACCATACTGACCCACACAGCGCTACACAATTACACTGACACACATACACACAGCGCTACACAACCACACTGGCACACACACACACAGAGTTCTACACAACCACACTGACACACGGACCCACAGCGCTACACAACCACACTGACACACACACAGAGCTCTACACTCACACGCGGACCCACAGCGCTACACAACCACACTGACACACGAACACAGCTCTACACAACCACACATACACACACAGCGCTACACAATCAGACTGACACATGCACACACACCACTAAGTGGTCACACATGGAGACCTACACAACCATACTGACACACACACACACAACACCGCACAACCACATTGATACGCACACACAGAGCCGACACAAGCACACTGACACGCACACTGAGCACTACACAACCACACTGATACATGCACACAGCACTGCACAACCACAAAGACACACACAGTTCTACACAATCACACTCAGAAAGCTACACAACCACAGTGACACACACACACACTGAGGACTACACAATGGCTTGCACAGCACTATACGATCACACCCAGAGACCTACACAACCACACTGACACACACAGCGCTACGCAATCACACTCAGAAACCTACACAACCACACTGACACTCACACGCCGAGCGCTACACAACCACGCTGACACACGCCGAGCGCTACACAACCACACTGACACACACAGCACTACACAATCACACTCAGAGACCTATACAACCACACTGACACTCACACACCGAGCACTACACAACCACATTGACACACGCACACCAAGCAATACGCAATCGCACGCACACAGAGCACTACGCAATCACACCCACCCACCACTACACACTCAGGTATACAGTCGCACACCCACCACTACACAATCACACACACACTGATACACAATCTCTCTCTTGGACACACACACACACACACCGGCACGCACACCCTCAGCCACACAGTCACACAGCATCACAACCGCAAACACGCAGTCTCACGCACACACCCAGGTCCGGCCCCGAGACAGGGGCTGCCAACCAGCCCCAGGGGCAACTGCTTGGCCGGCTACTCGAGCTCTCGCTGCCGGCGCATGTCACACACACACACGTGCGATCAGACACACGCACACACACACTTTACCCATGATGGGCCTGTCTCTATGTGTGACACACACACACTCGTCGCCAAACTGGGAGCCAGGACTCCTGGGTTCTCACCCCAGTTCTGGGAGGGAAGTGGGGGCTGGTGGTTAGAGCAGGGGGGCTGGGAGCCAGGACTCCTGGGTTCTCTCCCGGCTCTGGGAGGGGAGCAGGGGCTGGTGGTTCGAGCAGGGGGGCTGGGAGCCAGGACTCCTGGGTTCTCTCCCGGCTCTGGGAGGGGAGCAGGGGCTGGTGGTTCGAGCAGGGGGGCTGGGAGCC